AGTTAAATTAAATTTAATGAAGTATAAAGAAACTATACATTCACGATTAAATCGAGTAAAAATCAATTCCAACTCAAACGGATGTTGACGGAATGGTACAGACTCGAGCGCCACCAAGGGATGCGCGCTTTCCCCAGGACAAAGTTTGGGAACGGTTACGAAACGGAATCAAGAAATAACACGTCGCGCGGCCTGCAGACGTCCTAAAAATCATTACGTGGGCTTAAGATTAAATTTAATTAAGAGCACCTTGTTTGTTACCCCTCGCGACGTAATCGGGTACGGTTTACTGCATCTCATTTAAATAGCTACTGATATTATACTCATATCAATGGGTGAGATGAAATTCCAAAATTCGGTAATCCAATTGACCCGCATTGTTATTTGGAATGTTGGGTTCATCCGGCGGGGTCGGCGATATGAAACTGATAAATGCTTAAACTGCACGGCCCCGACTGGTTTTAAGCTTGTTTTCATATATATTGATCACCAAAATCATCTAATAATTCCTTACCGGAACTGAAGTTCTAAAATATTAATTTGCCTTCATCTTCTAAATGACAAAAAGTTTCGGACGCAAAAAAAGATAATTGAAATATCTTGGTGGGAACGGTTGCAAACGCCGAATTAATTACAGCTTTTGTTTACGATACCGGTGTGCCAGAATCATCGCCGAAGCTCAAAACGTAACTTTCTTTAAGACGGCGAATCTGTACATAGGATTGACCGATGTCTCGAGCATTATCCAAAGGACAACTTCAACAGAATAAACACAAAAATTCGCCATTCATGACTGGATGACCACACCAAAAGCAGATATTCGTTTTAGTTAATTCGCAAATAACACTCTGTAAAGTAAGAGCAGCTTTGTTATCGCTTCTACACTGTAGTAGCAACACGGCGAAACTTTTTCCCTAAATTAAATAAAAATAATCTCCATTTCCAACGCAAGCTTGCCTTTTCAAGTTTCTTAATTACCTTCTTCGTCTGAAACTTGGTGCAAATTAACTCGTAACAATTTTGACATTCTTTTTATCTGTTATTTCGAGTCGATCCCATTTCAATTCCTTTAATTATCTTTTTCAAATAATCGCCACGTTTCTTTTATTTTACCGAGTCAGTTTTTTAACAAAAAAATGGAGCATCCACAGATTGGGCGTATATATAATTGGGTTTTCAAATTAACATCAAAATTTATCGAGTAGGAAGCTACGTTGGTAGAAATTGGTATGTAGAAATGCAATCATAACTTTAATTACGTACGTATTACATTTCTGTGTGATACATGACGGATTCCGCTATTTACTAATTGGAGATTAATTAGCGATTGAGTGTAAACTGAAATTAAGATTACACGCAAATGTAACCTTCTTATGAATGTGAATACCCATAATTACCGCTACTTATGTGACGTATGTGCACTGAGGAAATTCATAAGTGAAGCTTAGCAGACAATTGTGGAAAATGAGTGAATACGTATTATAAATCAATACTTAGCATACGTACATACGGTAATTCCTTATTAACTATTAGCAATTGGGAGGGTATTGAAATTTTACTATTTGAGTATTATAAATGTCGAATGCGTCTTATTTACTGTGTAATGGTCCCTTTCGTTTTTGAGACTCACGATTAAACGTCAATTCGTAATGGGCATTACAAAAGAGTTGATCATATTTTCAGGTTCATGGTATGCGTAGATGCATTATAAATTCTTCTTTCCAACTTCGTGTATAGTAAGTTTAGACCTACCGTTCGTATTTATTCCCAGGCTAGCTCAGATAAAAGGGGCGAAGAATAAGAAAGAATTCAATTGATTTTTCCTTTACTGAATATTTTATTAATAGTTAAAAATTGGAAAAATTGTAACTCAAACCTATTCGCAGAATACTCACAAATTTAAATACTTGAGTATGTTTGGAGAGATTACGCAACTTCAATGTTAGTGTTAGTGTGCTTTTTTGAAATAAACATTTTTACTCCCTTTGTAAGAAGTAATAATGTCAAAATTACTAGAGATTATCTCAAACTAAATACATTTTGGAATCGGGAGATTTTGTTAAAACGATCCAAAAAAAATTGGGTGCAAAACATTGATATTTCCGCTGTACGGTACAGGTACGTTTTCTCTCTTCGCGCTCTCAATTTTAATTAGAATAAAGAAATAGTTTTTTGGTTTCTGGACTTTGAAACGCAGCCATTTTATTATTTTTTTGTGCGTTTATCAGATTTGACGTTACTTAAGCGTATTATTGGAAAAACGGTTAGTCCTTATATCCCAAAGTTTTTGTTACATAAGAAAGTTAGTTGAGTGTTACAAGTAGTAAGGTATTAAAGAGATTTAAGTCGTCGTGATAAGAGGGACTTCTCAGTACGCGTTAAATGGAGTTTTTCCATTGCCCTAAATACAAAAAAAAATAATAAGGGGACACCTTATATATGGGAATATTTCAATTTATTGGGTCAATCTAGTGGATTATTTATTAATATACACAAAGTTGATTTCTTCTACTTGAATTTGTATTTCAGTGTTTCTTTCTCATTTTTGAATTGTTTGTAATTGCGTAAATCGTTTTATATTTTGTTATCGCTTTGTAATTATTTAATTTAGAGAATAGAAGGTGTTAGAAGTAAGGTACATCGAATTTTGCGTGATTTGTAAAAAGTTTTATCTTGTCGTTATGATAAGGAGATTTATCAGGCGGAAATTAATTAACGCACGTGATTCATCGCTGTTACCAGATAACGGGTTACGAAGAATTTCATGCGGATACGTGGGGAGGTTTGTCGCATTCCTTGTTTCTGGAGTTTAAATAATGACATGACATGACCTGAGGAAGTAGCCTGTGTTATGGTGGAAGTGGTGGTTCTTTAAATACTAGAATCAACGTAAAAACGCTGCTGAGCGTTTCGCGATGGTTGAAGAGCGTGCACATCTTTTAACACCAATTTTCGGACAGTAGGCTATAAAGATTTGTACATCAGAACCAAGTTCGTCAAAGTTGTGTGAGAAGTTTAACGCGTGTTGTCCGATTACGGAAAAGGTTTCGTCGAGTTAAAAAAGCAAGCAGTTGTAGTACAGCGACGCCCTTCGATAAGGTTCTCTTCTACTGTCCGGATAGCCAACAAAATTTGTCATATTATTCATCAAGCCAGTTTTGTTTGTCATCCAATATTCTGTGTTATTAGTAAAGTGAAGTTCAAAAGCTGTCACCATTTGCGCCTAGTATCTCAAAGCTTTACGAATAAATTATTTGGATTGTTAAGTAAAAGAATTTTTTAATTTTAATTGTCGACCGCCGCGTGCGGGGTGATATGTTCCTTCAAACAGGCTTTGTAAGCCTTTCTTTCTTATTATTGTTTGTGATTGTCAATCAATTAATTGTGTGAGAATCCAAAGTGCGACCCAAATAGTGTTTTTATGTCAGATTTTTCTATTCGTGCCCAGGATTTCTTTGAGGTGTTGATTAAAAATTGTGTATTTTTTGGAATTTTCAGAAATTGATCGAGGTCACCGAGTCTCTCAAATTTAAAGTCAATGTTGGGATTTTTCTTTATAGCAGATAACGGATGTGTACGAGAGAAATAATTATAAAATACTAAGTGCCAATTTGTATTTACTTTGAGCTAGATGAACAGGTGTTTTGTGGGCGACAGTGACCGCATGCCATTACAGTTACACATAGCATTTAAAATATCTAAGACATTTGTAATCATTTAATATTATTTGAGAGACATAATGTATTTCCTTGTAAATTAGTTTTTCAAGTTTTTGTATTGCGGTTGTTTAACAACATCCAAATCTTACAGTATATTCTGTGTGCATACGAAAATGGATACACCGCACTCTCAACGAAAATGGGACACAATGTACACTTCTTAGACGTATCAATAAGAAGTTACTAAATTCGCCCAAATCGGTTATGACACGCGCCGGAAATTGCAACCTCATCAGATCATTAATTTGCGATTGCTGTTGTAACAAATTGATATTTGGAAATGCACTTGACTTTAAAAATTTATGAAAAATATGCTTGACCTCAAAGACGTGGCTTTAATAATTATAGCTATGAAGGAGAGTGTCCGATTTTGCAAATTCTGATTAATACCCTTATCAGCAATTATCCATGTCTAAAACCGATAATTAACTAAATCAGACATGATGAGTTCAATTAATCTAATTAAAGTATCTGACCACAAGCATATGTGAGCTAAGAGAAGATATTAAACGAAAATGAGTTCCAAAAGAGGATAAAAATTAAAATGTATCCTATAACTACCATTTTCTCAATATTATGAACGTGTGCACTTAACTAAAACTATACTTTTTGAAATTGCTTGTTTATCAGAGCCTGGTCACCTTGTAGAAATTCTACAATGAATGATTGCATGAATTGAGTGAGGGAATCGTTTCTATGACAATGGAACGCTCAAATTGACCATGATAATTTGCGCTAGTACAAATTACCGTTGTAGTATCTGATATTATTTGTAGAATGTTGAAGAGAGGAACAGATGCTACTATTTCTGAGGAGAGCTTCTATATGTTGAGCTTTAATGTTGCTCAAGGACAAATAGAATTCACAGTTTTACATAAGTAATGTACATTTTCATTTATTGGTTCTGTATGGACGGAGGGTATCCAATTTTGTTTACTTGAATCATGAGACACAAAATATTGAATTCGATACTGATTTACCCAGTAAATGGTATGTTAAATATTTATTCAGATATATACACGAACGTTTTGTGTCCACCTGTCACTTTAACTCAAAATTGAATTCGTTCTGCAAATTCTTCTACCATCAAATCTGAATAAGTAAAATTTTTGAATTCTATTCAACTCGGAGGTAAATAGGTAAAACGTTAATATTTCCCATATTTCCTTCACCTTTGTGCTACTTTGTGCGGAAACTTTAAAAGCTGCGCATTCGCAGGAATGCGCCGTTATGGTCCAGCAACGTCGTGATATTCAGCGCCGTAGTTACTGGCGACGCTCGGTTTTGATCGCTTCTCGCGTCGCGCCAAACAAATTTTTACATTTTCCGATTGAACAATTAGCAACGAACAAAAAAAGACATTTTCCACACGTTCGTTTGTGCATTTTCCGATCTGCTACCTTTGTATTCTACCGATAGGTAAGTAAACCCTTTTCTCTTGTAGTCTCTGCAGACTGAGTTATGGGTTTATTAAAATTTTCATTCCAAAATATACGCCGAGGGTATTTGCAAATTTTGGTTATTAGGACGTGGAAATGTGAGAAAGAGTGCTTCATTATGTAGCCGTCTCTTATAACGCCCTTATTATGCGTTGTATGCAGAGCAAAGCAAACACGCTAAATTGCGGTTCATCAAGTTTTATTCACAACGCCCTAAATCATTGCGAACTTCGTCAAATTTGTTTGGAGGAAAATTTTGTCATGAGGTGGCCTGATAACTGATGAATGTGACGTAATTTCTAACTCTAGGCTGAAAATAGAGACGAAATCGTAAGGATTTTTACGTTCAGCTGGCAGAGCTTGGTTTAAGTCCTACGATTGTATGTTGTAAGCTGCTTAATTGTCATACGATTATGAATGATGCTCCATCAACGGTCTAGGTAGGTAAACAAAATCAAACCTGGCAGAAGCTCCTACATGTAACATAATGGCAGGCATAATGGTAATCCGTAATGGTTAAACTAGTATTAGTTTAGAGTACGTCGTATACGTAATCTACAAACGTAATGTTTAACGTTGGGAACATACTGGTTTTAATTGTCTTTTTTCTAAATTTTTTGTTTATGTTAATGTTAACTATAAGTATACCTTATGCTTTCCATGTCCCCGAATTTCTTTGCATTTATATGACTGTTTTTTTAGTAAAACAGCGCTCTAGGCATAACAAAATTGCAGTGGAAGCAACAATTTAACTTTCACTTAAAGCCAATTTTCACTTACAACCAAATATATAAGCACAGTGTTTTCACAGACTCAAAAGATTGAGGTTTAGGGACAATTATATTCCATTGTTCCTAAGCACTCTCTTGGACATTGAATCATTTGGTATTTTCATTTAAGAACTTATTGTTTATCAAATGTGTTTTAGTCAAAACAAAATTGAAAACCAGAGTATATGGTGTCCAATTTTAATTTAAAAAATCTGTAGAAAAAACAACATGCAACTTGGCAATCATGGGAAAAAAACGAGGAAAAAAATATACCATAAGCCATTCTGCCATAAATTGTCTACTACTTTAAAGCAGGAAGAAAGTGTTCTATTAGCTCCAGACTAACCCGCCGAATATTTATAACTGGTTTTCTCATAACCTGAAATATTTTAAAAATGTGATTCAATTCTTTTGAAGCAGGTATAAAACAGATTTCTGTTTAAGAGATAATATTCCATCTCTTTACATAACAAAGATTCCCACGATGACGTAAGAAAAATCGCGTTTGCAATACATAATTTATATAACAAAAATTGCAGATTTTTAGCAAAGGAGACGTTTTATGGCATCTAAACCCTTACGTTCTAGCACTTCTATCCTCCGCCACGCAGAAACTATATTCTGAACCCACCCCCATCCCCTCGAGTGACACAACTCACACAACATTATAAAGGTCATAAAAACCTTCTATCAAATAGTGTGTAGAAATTTCAAAATTTGTATGATACCATTAAAAAAATTAAAATGAAATGTCACGTGATAAAGGAAATAAATAAATTTTATTGTGTGATTGCAATTTAACTTTTTTTAATAAATTCAATTTATTGACTACAGTGTTATCAATGTTTCGTCACTTAAAACACGTAAAAAATGTAGACCTTGCTCCCGTACCTTTTTTTAAATTTTTTGTTTCTGATAATTGGCACGCTCAACAGTATCACTTTTATTAGCTCACATTTTAATTCACTCTCCAAAGTGTCGTTTTTACCATAATTTGATGCATAGTCTGAACGATGAAAAAAGTTACACACTAAACACTAAAGTACCAGTTCGAATGAATTAAAAGTAGAAACACAGTGGCGAGGAAATATATAACCTTGACGTATACTGGGTGTTCGAAACAAGAGGGTCATCTCAATATCTCATTTATCGAGATACGAAAAATGTGTCAAATATAATTTTACATCTGACGGTACGATCTATCCGGCTCTTGTTTTTCAAATGCAATGCCTGTGCTTTTTTAATATATTTGAAGAGCAAACAATTCGATGTAGGTACGGCGTAAAATACATAAAAAAATGAAGAAATTCGTGATTCAATATCTAGAAAACTTATGAAATCCAACAAAATTTATTTATCAGTGAGGTCTTCTGGCCATGGTCAGGTTGATGGACGTAGAGGCAACGAGTTCATTTGTGTGGTTTAGTCTGTCTTTAGTAGCACATCTTTTTTTGATGACTTCTGTGATGAACGGAATGTTAAGATCGTGATGGAGGGTTTAGTGGTGATGTATCGTTGGCGCCGTGTTTTTGATTGAAATGGCTGCAGTATCTTGATTTTTGATGTCTTAGGGTACTTCTATGGCATTTTTAATTTCAGTTTACAATTTAATGCTAAAATCAAAGGTTTCCTATAGCGACCAAAATTCATAAATTGGAGCAATTAGGCAGAAGCTCTCATGTACTAGTGCGTCAATATTAACGGAGATACGAAGTTTTACAACACACCTAGTCTAAAGTTCGCCTTTGAATTGTGTTCCGACCCCGAGTACACTGACTTGGACCTCAGCTCCTCTTTTTTGCACACAAGTTTGTATAGGAATTAACATAAATATGCAGACAAAATGAGCGATTGAGCTACAAAAAAAATTGCTTTGAAATTAAGGTACCAACAATGTTTCTATTGAGAAATGCCGAGAAATATGGCCAATAAAGTTCTAGAATTTACGTATCCTCCTTAATTCACTTTCCCTATAATACTTAGGCAGTGGAATTACATAGTTTTCGATTTGTAAATTTTGCTACCGCGAGGTTTGATGTCGATAAAATTGCGAGTATCTTGTTATCTTTAAACATAAAAACGAATTCACACTTTAGTCTTTACACATTTCTAAGAAAACTGCTATTCTTTGGCCCACAAATTTTCTGACGCTGAGAACACACATTTCATCAGAAAATTACTTCATTCAAAAATTCAATGATTTCCAAGAGACGTGTTATACCAAAACTGTGTTAGCCTTTCTTGTGCAAAATCGTATGTAAAAACAGTTCTACAACGTGATTCTTGAAAACGCAAAGTGCGCAGCAGATTTAATGAAATTCTGACCACTTTATGGTCCGGCAAACAGTCTAGATACGATATTTTGTATATTTTACGAACAAATTTTGGAAAATCTTTACAAAATATGTGAACCATTATCGCAATTGGAGATTATCGTCCTTAACTTATATCCCATATTAAACTAAACGTACATGATGCCTACTTCTATAGGTCATTTTGAAACACAAGACGGTAGCGTAGCACATTGAAGAGGAAGGAAGCAGCGCAATTTTCTTGAGCCATCTGAAGCATTTGTTCCTACAATTAAGTTGTGTTCCCAATCTAAAAACTTCATATTTCCGCTAATCTTGAACTAATGAAAATATGAAAAACCTTGTACAAAGAGTGGCCGCGAATACGGAATTTAAGACACCTCATACCTTACTAAAGGTAGGAAGTTACCATTATATAAAAAATACGATATAATAACGGAAGGAAAGTGGAAAACAGGAAGAAAACGGATTACGTGTAAAGATCAAACTCATTCAATATGAAAATAAGATAGAGACATACCGAACAAAAAATATACAGAAAGCAGCTCAAGCGGGGAACCTGATTGACTTATAAAGATAAGAAATGCCCACCACTCATTTATTAGTCACGGTGGTGTATTGAAGGAACGAAATGAAAAAGTGGGGAAACAAATTAATAGTTCATTTCACTGTTCCTTTTGAAACAGTTACAGACTTTAACTTGCAACGTACATGGTGAACGATTTTGGTTTAATCTGATACTTGATTGTAATGAAATGCTTTCCACTTCAGCGTGATGCATCAATCACATTTCGGCGTAATTGTTTTACACAGTTTCGACGCCAAATATCGTCGTTATACGAGTATATTTAATAAATTGAACTGGAGCGTGTATCTAATTAAAACTAAAGGTACAGTCGCCATACGTATTCCTATAATTAACGGATTAGCTGATGTCCTCGTTCTACTTATCTTTCAATTCTGTTTTCACTTTAATTTGATGTATTATTGTGGGCTTGGTATGGGTTTACTCTCAGGGGGTTGGCATGATCGCTCATTACGCATATTTGTTGAAGACATATTTTTTTTAATTGCAAGCCTTTGTCACTCAAATCTGAAAACCGTTTCATAATTTAACTTGAATAGAAATAAGCCCCTGCAGTTTTAGGTGGTAGTTGGTAATCGATTGAATTTAGAGAACATTTGCGAAGGTGCCCTACACTAATCGTATCTGGGTCAAAAAGAACAAATTTTGCATTCAATTGTAACCCTCATTCCACAGTCTTTGTGTTTAAACTCAATCAACTTTTATTCAATATAAACTGTAGCTGAATGAATTTTTATTGTTAATTTGATTGCCTTAAAAGCAAACCCCGCTTTATTTTTTCAATACGTTTCCCAACCTTATATCGATTTTTAACGTTCTGTATTCATTTTCGATATTGATTTAAAGTTACGCAAACTTCAAAAGACGTTTATAAAAAATGTTATGGTAGTTGATTCAATAGAACGTGACGCAGAGGGCCACATCAAAAATTCTAGTGCATTAACGTTGTGCATTATCGAAGTTTTCTAGTTTTTCATACTTTATTTATCATTCTTAAGAAACACACTTTCTTCTAAAAGCGAAAATAAATTGAAAAACTTAACACACTCCCAATTCGGCAGCACTGCTGAGTATTTTACAATTTAATCTAAGATTACATGTCATTTTGAAGAAACTTCGACAATATTATCTGGACTCGAGTTGAATATTGAATTACTACATCATCTCACTTTGTTTGGGCAACGTAATTTTAAACTAAAGTTCTCTTCTACACTTGAAACTGCCAACTAATTCAGCAAGGAACTAATTACAATTGGTGCCTAAAACCTCATTGCTCCTTTTCGAGTATTCTGTAGCATCAATAGAGAATCTG